AAACTCCACACATCTAGAGATATAACCCAACATTCTGTTCGCCTTTTTTATTGCTTCCCCACATTGGCGAGAGTGGGACATGGAAGCATCAACATACATACCGAGATCTTTCTCGTAATCAGCTACCTTTATTTCAGTGTATCTTTATTATCCCACTGTTTTCCGAAATACTAATAAACATCCATGGATGAGCTTCCATTCTGAGAAGTTCCAATTGCTGATCCCAAACCATATGACCCATCTTGTTGAAGCCTCACCTGTTGGGTTTACTTTCATACAGAAATCATGTGGCTCTGGGCGTGGAGGCAGCCTGGCAGCTGTTTTTAACTCACTGTTTACAATTGAACCGAAAATCATGGAAGCAATGCTACTTCAAATGGCATCAACCCACCCATCTACATACTTATAGTATACAGATCACCTGGACCATACACATCATTTCTGCCTGAATTTGGGCAACTTCTTAGTGACTTAGTCCTTAACTGAAAGAATATTTATTATAATCTAAATTTGATTTAATATTTAAAATTTTAATATACATGTGGACATAGACTGATGCCTACAGCAAAGATTTCCTATCCCTTTTGGATGTTGTGTAATGTTAACAGTAGATAACAGGACCAACCCATATGCACAATCAAACATTAGAATTGTTTATTACTCATGGAGTTCATGTTCACCATGTATCAGTCTGTCCCTTGAATAAGTCCTTCTCTGACTATTTTCGAATCACCTTTGTAATTTATCCACCCACTTTGACTTTGGTGGAGAAGATTATTATGGCACGTCACCTAAATGGTAGAAATTTCCAGTAAGTAAAGGCAGTAAGTAAACTTCATGTCTAGTACAAATGTCAACAAAATCACGCATGACTTATAATACCGTGGTTAGTCAAGTTTGGGACGAAATGGCACAAATAAAGTTGTCAAAACCACCAGGCATTCTCCATGGTTTAATGATCACACACATTCTTACCAACAGGAGTGCCACAGATTAGAGCACAAATAGAAATTTACGTTATAAGTGGCATGGTCCGACATCCTGCAACCATACAAGCAAGCCTTATATTGGGCACATTCAGCTTATTACTCTAACCTTATTGATTGCAATAGAAATAGCCGCGGATAAGAATGCTATAATCTCTACACTCCACTCCAAGGGGCTGAACTTTTCTCTCAGCAGCTCACCCTGTAACCTAGACATTATCTTAGATTCAAGATTCTCAATCAAAGTGCATGTGGATGCAGTATCGAGGGTGTGCTTCCTAAAGCTACATAACATTGTCAGACAATGACTGAGGCTGAGATCAGTCACATATAGCAGCAGTTGTGTCTCTGGGATATGTGACAGTCCAGCTTTAATGGGTCCCAATAGCACAGTGAGCTGATAGCTGTAGGTGCTGATGCTTGACAAGGCTGAATTGATATACTTCTACAAGGAGAGATTGTGATGTCTCCTAGTCACCAAAGGCCAACACTGATTGAAGTGATATTCTCTCCTGCAGGGTGCTAAAGAGGAAGCAGAGAGGTACTTCCTGACAGCGATAGAGCTCGATCCAACGAAAGGGAACTGTTACATGCACTATGGTAAGATGTAATATTTCATGGTAGTGTATAACTAGCTCATGTATTAAAACTTAGAATATTTAAAACAATGCATATAAAACCCTTATATGCATTCCGACAATGTCTGGGCATGCTTCTAAAGAGACAACAGATGGTGTCCTGGGAGATCTCCTCCCAGCCCTGGATCAGGGCATCTGTGAGCTCCTGGAAGGTCTGTGGCACTAATTTGTCATTTTGAATGCACCGATACATAATGTCCCAGAGGTTCTTGATTGGATTCAGGTCTGGGGAACATGGGGGCTAGTCAATGGCACCAATACCTTCGTCACCCAGGAACTGCCTATGCACTTTGGCCACATGAGGCCAGGCATTGTCCTGCACCAGGAGGAACCCAGGGCCCCCAGCACCAGTGTTAGGTCTGACAATGGGTCTGAGGATTTTGTCCTGGTACCTAACAGCAGTCAGGGTACCATTGGCTGGCACGTGGAGGTCTATGCAGCCGTCCAAGGATATGCCTCCCCAGACCATCACTGACCCACTGCCAAACTGGTCATACTGGATTATGTTGCAGGCTACATAGCATTCTCCATGGCATTTCCAGATTCTTTCACGTCTGTCACTTGTGCTCAGTGTAAACCTCTTCTGATCTGTGAAGAAAATGGGATGTCAATGGGGAACCTGCCAATTCTGGTGTTCTCTGGTGAATGCCAGTCGAGCTGCATGCACACAAGTGACTTGTTGGAGGTAATTTTGTAAGGCTCTGGCAGTTTTTCCTGTTCCTCCTTGCACAAAGAAGCAGATACTGGTCCTGCTGCTGGTTTCCTGCCCTTCTATGGGTCTGTCCTGCTGTCTTCGTGGCAAGGCTTGCCCCCTGGTATTTCCTCCATGCTCTTGAGCCTGTGCTTGGAGACACAGCAATCCTTTATGTGACTGCATGTATAGATGTACCATCCTGGAGGATCTGTGAAACCTGAATGGGCTGTAGGTACTGTCTCATGCTACCAGTAGTGACACTAGCAAAATGCAAAACTAGAGAAAAAAAAACACTCATGAAACATAAGGAGAGAGAAATGGTCTGTGGTCATCACCTGCAAATCCATTCGCTTTTTTGGGGTTGTCTTGCTCTTGCCTATCCTGTCCACCTGTTGTTTCCATATGCACCAAAGCAGGTGAAATTGTTTCATAATTGCGTACACTTCCTAACTGGTGTAGGATCACACATGCACATATCACAGAGCTTAAATTCCAGGTGGCCTGAGACAAGGCCTACCCTGGTGCGAGAGGTACTCGTTTGTCTAAGCACCAAAGGGGGGTTAATGACTCCACACACACAAACACACTTAAACACACACACACACACACACACAGATAACAAGGGGGGCCAGCACTCCAACTTTTATTGCCCAAAGATTTAGGGACCTACAGACAGCAGAGTGGACCTCAAGGACAGGGGTCCCTCGACTTGGCACACAACCCCCTCCCCAGACATCCTGCCTGGTATACTCACCCAACAGACCAACACCCTAAAGAAAGTTTCTTTTAAGTTTGGCTTTTGTATACCCTGTATTTTGATTTACTCATGACTACTAGTCTCAATATACAGATAGGTTATGTTTGTATGTGTCCTTAGACAATCTTAGTGTTTTGTATGCCACCCTTATAACCATGTTCACGGAGTATCACCTATTTTACCCCTTTACATTTGAACATTTATATAAATTTGAATAAATAAATAGGTATAGCTACCACTGCATATACACTCACCTAAAGGATTATTAGGAACCCCATACTAATACGGTGTTTGACCCCCTTTCGCCTTCAGAACTGCCTTAATTCTACGTTGCATTGATTCAACAAGGTGCTGAAAGCATTCTTTAGAAATGTTGGCCCATATTGATAGGATAGCATCTAGAACATAAGAACATAAGAACTATACAAACGAGAGGAGGCCATTCGGCCCATCGAGCTCGCTTGGGG